GTTATTTACAATAAAAACTGCAGAATTAACCTCAGTGACCTATTCCTGGAAAATTAAAAGAAAAAGAAAAAATAAGACAGTGTGCCTAAAACTTTTAAGGCAAGATCAGAAACATGGATAGGGTGCTGCAACAGAGACATGTGACTATTCTTCTGGATGGCAAGTGAAGCATCACACATGGTGGCCTGCAGAGGGTTGTGATGCTGTCATTCACTGTCCACTCCATCTTCCAAGTAGGTTACAGGGCTGGCTCAATTGACGACTGCTGCATCACTAGATTATAATCACAGTGATCCAAAATTAAGTAATGGTTCACAAAAATTTAGTATTAAAATGTCATGCTGGTAATACTTTGGTGCAGAGAGGTTTACATATATTAAAAATAATTATATTTACTCACCTGCAAGTAGTCATGGTCTGGTAGAATCTCCTCCAGAGCAGACACCTCGGCAGAAAGTTGGTCCCGCCAGAGAGCACCACTGACTGCCTCCAAACCAGCTTCCCCCTCATCCTCTTCTGCAACTTCTGCCTCATTCTCTGGTGCTATGACATCACCGGCTCCAAGGCAGATGTTGTGAAGGATGGCACATGCTGTTATGACCTAGATAGATAGATAGATAGATAGATAGATAGATAGATAGATACTGCACAAACTGAAACACTAGGCCAGTACTTACATGTGGTACAAAGGTGTGGTGCACCTCCAGCGCTTGTAAAAAAATTGACCGGAATCTTGTTTTCATCATCCCAAAGGCACGCTCTATAATAGAACGTGCTTTTGAATGATGATTATTGAAGCGTTGGGCTCCCACACCTTGTAGTGGTCTTTTGTACGGTGTGATGAGGGGGAGTGGCTGTTGCAGACATGGGTACCCTCCATCTGCAAGGATGAAGTGCCCCGGAGGAGGATAAACCGACTGCCGGTAGAGTGGACTGTGCCGCAGTACTCTAGAGTCATGCACTGACCCAGGCCAACCCACGTATGTGTCAATGAAGCGGCCCTGATGATCAGATACGGCTTGTAAAATTATTGATGGGAATAATTTTCTATTCCTGTAGCACTGACCATCAGGGCCACTTGGGCACTTGATACGGATGTGGCAGCCGTCAATTGCACCCACAGCCTTTACAAAGGCTCTGTGGTGTGCCAGCCCTGCAAACCCACGGGACACTGAATTCAGGTCCTCTTCTGTTTTTGGAAGGTGGATGACCTGGTGGCGAATGTCCACCACCTCCTCTGTAACCCTATGAACAATGCTGTGGACAGTGGACCGAGGCATCCCAAACACTCTGGAGACCACTCTGTAGGATGTGCCGCTTGCCAACCAGAATAGAAAAACTAAGGTCTCAATAGTAGCACCCCATCCATGTCGCCGATCTTGGTTGAGCAGATGAAGCAGCCTTGCCAAAGATTCCCTGCTCAACCGAAAGTCAGGCTTGGTGTCCTCATCACAAAAAAAACGGACCAGGATAGGTATTTTGAGGTTAACTCTGCAGTACAGGGATTTGGTCTAGGTAACGAGAGGAAGGAGAAGAGGAAAACATATTTATTTTACATTAAAGTATTTCTTGTAATTGTAAGTGATCAAAGCAAGTAAAGCACTTCATAAGGTAAAATAAAGAAACAAAGATAAAATAAACGAAGAAATGTTAATGTTAAAAATTTAAAAGCTGTTTAATTTCACTGACTAAAAAAGTGAATCATTCAGTCAAATGTAAAACTAAGATTTATCATTTAATATTATTTATTATTTACATATTAACGTATTGCCGTTATTGTTAAACGTTAACAACGTTAACGTTATGAGTTTAATGTTAATAAATTGTTCATTTTATTAGCTACACAAGAGGCTGTGAATAAAAAAAATTACCTGAACGTTGTCCTTCAATCGGAGATATAACACATATCTGCGCCGACGAAACAAGATCATAAACTGTTCGAGTATTATGTAGGCGGACAGAAAACAGCAGATCGCATCATTATCCATCGCTTTAATTCAGTGCAGTGCAGCTCCAAACGTGATTTCAACGCTGTCACGGTTGCTTGGCAACATGAGTTACGCTGAGGTGGGGGCGGGGACAGTTGGTGAAGGGTAGACCTGTCCGAATCCACAGATATTTTACTTCCGGTCTTAGTTTTTTCCCGGCCTTCGAAGGACCCGTCCTACGTAGACCAGTCCTTCGAAGGATGCAGACCCTGAATTCGGACACAGCCTTATCTAAGAATTCTGCATTTTGTAAAGCTTGCAGAAAAATGAAAATGTTTTTTTTTTTTTTTGTCATTAGTTTTATAACTAGTATAAGACACATTCAACACAAAAGTAAAAATCTGATTTGTATTT